GAAAGTATTGGTTTGGAAATAGGGTAGTAGATGAGTGGAACAGTCTACCTAATTGGGTTATTGAGGCTGGGAGTTTGGGTAGTTTCAAATTTAGGTTGGATAAGTACATGAGTGGGAGGGGTTGGATTTGAGTGGGACTTTCATATCAGAGCTTATTTCTTGGGTGGCATTGAAAATTGGGTTGGGCAAATGTTTTGTTAGTGGGATGAATTGTAAAGGACCTGCCTAGTATGGGCCAACAGGCCTCCTGCAGTGTTCCTCCTTTCTTATGTTCTTATGTTCTTAATAGAGCGGAAAAATAATGTAAGGGACCTGGGAGTAGTAATGTCTGAGGATCTCACTTTCAAGGATCACAACAGTGCCACGATCGCACGTGCAAAGAAAATGATAGGATGGATAATGAGAACATTCAAAACGAGAGATGCCAAGCCACTGATGATCCTTTTCAAATCACTTGTTCTCTCTAGGCTGGAATACTGCTATACATTAACATCTCCATTCAAAGCAGGTGAAATCGCAGATCTAGAGAGTGAACAGAGATCCTTTACTGCACGTATAAGTTCTGTCAAGCACCTTAACTACTGGGAACGCTTGGAAGCACTTGACCGGTCCGGGGGCGTTGATCCCAGGAATAACCTCCAGGTAACCTCCACGTTATTTATCCTATTAATTCTTTGGGCAATTTGTATGATGTTGCTATCATATCTTCACTGTTTTTTTTATCATGCAATGTCGTTAGATTCAGTTGGTTAGTCTCCCTTCATAGGTCACGTTCCTTAACTCTGGAACAAGCCTCTTTGCATACTTCTTCACTTTCTGTAGTTTCTTAACATGCTTTCTCAGACGTAGGTTCCAAACAGGTGCTGCATGCTCGAAGATGAGGTTACCCGACATATGCTGTATAAAGACACCGTACGAGTACTGGCTGCAGAGCTTATTTAGTTGATGTGAGCCTCTGGCGATATGCTAGGCACAATGCTCACCCCCAGCTCTTTCTCCTTGAGTAATGTTTGCAACCGCTGTCTCCCGACTATAATTTGGAGGTTTACTTGAGGCTCTCCCATGATTATAATAATATAATTATATTATTATACGCATGTGGGGGGGAATGGAAGGTACTCAACCTGGAGCACAGATCCGATTCCCTAGATAAAGAGCCCCTCACCAGCGTTCAGGAACCTCCCTTGACGGGTCTGTCTCCCGAGTCTGCACTCATGTACACGAGTTTCCGCTGTCGTTTGCGTCAAATCATTCTATAAAGATCAGCTGGAGGGAGATCCCCGGGGCAGGAGAACGCTCTCGGGAAAAGTCCCTCTCGAGGAGCAGCATCCTGCCTCTGAGGTGTTGTCACCGGAAGCCGCTCTTGCCGCTCGTGTTCGTTTTGTTCTCTCGTAGCTTGGAAGACGTTCACGCTATTCCAGTCAACACCACTCACACGTAGTGTTGTAACAGCTGATCTAAGACACTCGGAAATGTTTGCTGAAATTATTAGGCCAATTCTAGTACTGAAAAAGAATAAGATAATGAAGAAGCAGGCGAAGGAAAGAAATAATAATAATAATAATAATAAATAATAATAATAATAATAATAATAATAATAATAATAATAATAATAATAATAATAATAATAATAATAATAACAATAATAATAATAATAACAATAATAATAATAATAATAATAATAATAATAATAATAATAATAATAATAATAATAATGATAATAATAATAATAATAATAATAATAATAATAATAATAAATAATAATAATAATAATAATAACAATAATAATAATAATAATAATAATAACTATGGTTAACCCTGGTACTATCCCCAGGGTGCGACCCGTCAACAGTTGGTTAAAACTTTGGTATTCTTTTCACTGCAGAATTTTTTAAATTTCTTGTATTGTGTATTTTGCGTCTTTTGCTTCAGTATTTTGTATTACGTGTTCATCTCAGGCTGCGGTAGCAGTGCGTCAGGCTGCGGTATTTAAACAAAAGGACTCGGTACTTCAGAAAATAACACGAGCATCTGAGATAAGAGACGATACTCGAATTTTCATAATAATTAATCACGATTTTTCACAGAGAAAAAAAATAATTTAGCCTTGTCGAAAATGGATGTAGTGTCTGTGAATATTCTTAATAGATTTTTGTTCATAAGGGTCAGTCGACTACGGAGCACCACTCATTCTTCAAGTTGATAAGCAAAACACAAGTGCAACAGTTAAGTATCTTCGCTTTCACAGGAGGCTTCTCCAGTCTAATACAGAGAAGGCAACAGAGGTAGAGATATAATCAGTCCATCATCCTCGAAGACGTAGTTCTGAGGTGGTCATTCTCTCAAGCTGAGACACTGACCACTTTATACACAGACAGACTTTCCAAACAAGATTCTGAGGCAAATAACATTGGACTGTAGAGACGACACGAACGAGAATTATTAGGCATGAGTATGGCCTAATTTGAATAGATCAGTAGGCCTATGACAATATTCCTTTCTCATACGTTCTGATATTAAGCCGAAAAAATAAGCAAATTAACTTGATGAAATTGATGAAAACGTCATAATAACAGTATAAATAACACAGTAACACTAGGAGATTAGAACAGTATAAATAACACAGTAACACTAAGAGACTAGAACAGTATAAATAACACAGTAACACTAGGAGACTAGAACAGTATAAATAACACAGTAACACTAGGAGACTAGAACAGTATAAATAACACAGTAACACTAGGAGACTAGAACAGTATAAATAACACAGTAACACTAAGAGACTAGAACAGTATAAATAACACAGTAACACTAGGAGACTAGAACAGTATAAATAACACAGTAACACTAGGAGACTAGAATAGTATAAATAACACAGTAACACTAGGAGACTAGAACAGTATAAATAACACAGTAACACTAGGAGACTAGAACAGTATAAATAACACAGTAACACTAGGAGACTAGAACAGTATAAATAACACAGTAACACTAGGAGACTAGAACAGTATAAATAACACAGTAACACTAGGAGACTGGAATATTATAAATAACACAACACTAGGAAATTATAACAGCATAAATGTCGCAATAACACTAAGAGATTGAAACAGCATAAATAACACAATATCACTAGGAGACTATAATAGTAAACAACACAGTAACACTAGGAGACTGGAATAGTATAAACAACACTAGGAGACTGTAATAGTATAAACAACACTAGGAGACTGGAATAGTATAAACAACACTAGGAGACTGTAATAGTATAAACAACACTAGGAGACTGGAATAGTATAAACAACACTAGGAGACTGTAATAGTATAAATAACACTAGGAGACTGGAATAGTATAAACAACACTAGGAGACTGGAATAGTATAAACAACACTAGGAGACTGGAATAGTATAAACAACACTAGGAGACTGGAATAGTATAAACAACACTAGGAGACTGGAATAGTATAAACAACACTAGGAGACTGGAATAGTATAAACAACACTAGGAGACTGGAATAGTATAAACAACACTAGGAGACTGGAATAGTATAAACAACACTAGGAGACTGGAATAGTATAAACAATACTAGGAGACTAGAATAGTATAAACAACACTAGGAGATTGGAATAGTATAAACAACACTAGGAGACTGGAATAGTATAAACAATACTAGGAGACTGGAATAGTATAAATAACACTAGGAGACTGGAATAGTATAAACAACACTAGGAGACTGGAATAGTATAAACAACACTAGGAGACTGGAATAGTATAAACAACACTAGGAGACTGGAATAGTATAAACAACACTAGGAGACTGGAATAGTATAAACAACACTAGGAGACTGGAATAGTATAAACAACACTAGGAGACTGGAATAGTATAAACAACACTAGGAGACTGGAATAGTATAAACAACACTAGGAGACTGGAATAGTATAAACAACACTAGGAGACTGGAATAGTATAAACAACACTAGGAGACTGGAATAGTATAAACAACACTAGGAGACTGGAATAGTATAAACAATACTAGGAGACTAGAATAGTATAAACAACACTAGGAGATTGGAATAGTATAAACAACACTAGGAGACTGGAATAGTATAAACAATACTAGGAGACTGGAATAGTATAAATAACACTAGGAGACTGGAATAGTATAAACAATACTAGGAGACTAGAATAGTATAAACAACACTAGGAGACTGGAATAGTATAAACAACACTAGGAGACTGGAATAGTATAAACAACACTAGGAGACTGGAATAGTATAAACAACACTAGGAGACTAGAATAGTATAAACAACACTAGGAGACTGTAATAGTATAAACAACACAACACTTGGAAACTGGAATAAACACTAGGAGACTGGAATAGTATATACGACACAGTAACAATAGGAGACTGGAATAATATAAACGATACGGTAACTCCAGAATAGTATAAACGACAGAACACTAGGAGACTAGAATAGTAAAATCGTCCATGTAAACGATCTATCAGATTAAGAATCAAAGAGGCTGCCTGGACGCTCCCTTTCCTTGGATTAAATGTGATTGTCTCCCATTTCCCAAGGCACTTCACGACCCCTAGGAGCAATTCAAAATACGGCATGATTGTTCTCCCTACACACTTTTGCACGATGTAAGTGTGGTCAGTGGGAATGGAGAGCAAGGAGAGAGCCTTACCTTTTACTATCTTGATATCTGTCTAGACAGGAAAAGAAGCTGTAGGTAGAATGAGATTTCTGCCTTTTCTCATCAGATATCCTGAAAACAGACCATAACATTCTTTACACATTCCTAGCTATTTCACGATTTCAAGAACATAGATGTTCGGAACGTATCGCTGTTAGAGTGTGAGCGATGTTATCGTTATTTTTGCAGGGTGGTGGTGGTGGTGGTGGTATGGTAGTTGTGTGTGTTGGGGAGGGAGGGGTGTACGCATCCTGTCTACTAGAGTTTGTGCTGTCGCTCTCCGTTACTCACTAGCAGTTTCCCACTAGCTGTAGTTCACTGTTGCTGTGCCTGTCTCAGCACACGACCCGCGGCTCTGGTCTCACTGCACGACCCACGCAGATCCTAAGCCTTTCCACCCCACATTTAGTCCAGGTAAGGCACCTTGAGTCATGAGACGGAACGCTGAGTCAGTCTACTGAGAGAGAAAGAGAGTACGTAAATTAATTAATTTTAAAAATATATCATAAAAAAACAGAGATCCTCTGGAATAAGAAACCAGAAATGTGTCTGATTCCCATTAAACGATGAATGTTTAGCATTTATTATTATTATTATTATTATTATTATTATTATTATTATTATTATTATTATTATTATTATTATTATTATTACAAGTATTAATTATTAATATCTATATTACAGGTATTATTATTATTATTATTATTATTATTATTATTATTATTATTATTATTATTATTATTATTATATCTTTTATTTACAGAAGACGTGAGGGGTTGTTGTTATAACAATCGTTAAGGAGAGAGGGTCCTGACAAGGGTTTCACAATCTTTCGACGACCCGTTTTATACGTGAACTCTAGTACAGAGTTGTTCTCCGGTACTGATGATTCTCTACCTAGTTGTATCAGCACTGGCGTCTCTGCTCGTTGCTACAACTGTGAAGAGTCAGCTGCCTGTTACCATGAACGCTACAGAGTCTACGCCTTTTCGGACGTCCACAGAGAGCGTGGCGCTTGGTGCAATGTGGCGGAAGCAAATTAACCAGTTGTACTTCACCGAAACGTTAATCACTTCATCTTATTCTGACGCATTAGGTGAATGTTTGAAGTGCTGTGCTAATATGACTGTGAAAGATAAACAACTGGATTGGATCAAGCTCACAAACTGTGGTAGCCAGTCGTTCAAGTGTTTATTGGCGTTTCCAGAGATTCGCTCCCGTATCACTCGGGACGTCTTTTGGCTGACCTCCAATAATGACTACGTGTTAATATACATGGGGAATTCTTCCGACGTCGTCCTCAACTGGGATTACCTCACAGGAGGGCAGAAGGTGTTAGAAATTATCCTCCTGGCCCTTGGTGGAGTTATATTAGTGATAACGCTGGTAGGTAACATCCTCGTGGTAGTTACATTGTTCACTATCCATAGTCGAGGGGAAACCTGGTGGATCGCCCGCATCACTATCGCTGTTACCGACCTTCTGAGGGGTTTCTTCGTCATTGCTTTGGCTGTGAGTAATTGCCTGTGTATGATGACAAAAAATCTCCCTTTCTCGGAACTAATGAACTTGGTCGAGAATCTGGGCTTCCCTGGAAGCTTGTACGAACCTCTTTTTCTCCGTCGAGGATACTCTAGTTTCTGTGGTATTGTTTTCGGAGTCACGGCTGTCATGTCCATGCAGTGCCATAGCTGGCTCACCTTAGAGAGATTTTTAATATGCAACTATCCTCGAGACAAGAAAATTCTCACTCCTTTCCACGTCAAAATTGCTGTGTTCGTCATGTGGATGATTGCACTAGGCGTCTCACTTTTGTTTTCTGCAGAGATTCAATATCAGAGTTTCTTCGACCCCGTCACCAAGTTGACTTTTAGTGTTTCCACCGAAAAGGAATTTTGTGCAAGCTACTTGGCATTTTGGCTCCTGAGCTTCTACTTTGCAGGGCTGTTTGTCTTCACCGTCGTCGTCTCACTTAAGACTATGACAATCTTCCGGATCAGATCCCAAGAGGAGATGGCTGAGGTGGTCAATAACACACCCATGTTTCGAGTGAAGCAGCAGGAGGATGAAGATCGTTGCATCATGATGACAATGAAGCTGATACTGGTACTGTACCTCGTCTCCACTGTTCCTCTGGTCTTTCTTCTATACCCGAAGCTCAAAACACACGTTCCTCTCTTGTACTTCACATGCTGGTGGAGCTTCGTGTTGAGCTCCTCTTGGAACTGGTATATTTACAACATGCGGAGCACCTTTTTCATGAACCACTTGATTAGGCTGTTGTTGAAATGTCCGTTATTGCCGGAATCCCTCAAAGGTAGATTGAAGAATCTGCTTCCCACCTCCCTGACCTTAGACTGGGAACCACTGTGGGTCAAGCTGGACGATATTATGAGAAACAATAAACAGCACTACACTGTTCGCAATGAGGAGTGACTCTCTCGGTACACTTAAAACACAAAAGGGCTTTCCACAATTCTCTCTCCCTCATGAACACCAAAAGCTAACTACCAGTCACCAGACAGCGATTAAAGGACGAAGGATCAAGCTTCCGCAATCTCTTGCGTTGAATGACCCACACGGATTCAACGCTTCAAGAAATACAGTCTCTTCCTAAACACATTTTCCCAGTGATTGTGACGTCTTGTGAAGTTTTCCAGTGGGTGCAGCTGTGTGGTGACAATTTCTGAATATATTCCTAACGTGGAATTTGAAAAAAAATGTACATAAATGGGCGTAAATGGGCTCAAAATACATGTCAAATAATATATGCAAAGTATTAAACTAATAAGTAAATTATTTATGATATAAATGCATCTTCTGTAGAGTTTTTGGTATTATTCTTGACCTGTGCGTACACTCAGGGTTATGTATATAAGTATACCGAGAGTTTAATCCCGACCTCAAGTATTATAGTATTCTTGACAGGTGGTAAACACATGGCATTCAGTCTTAATCACCTTCGAATAGTCAAGAGACAATAAACCCCGTTAACTATTTATCATTCATAAATTAAATATTAATATACCAAATTTAAACTACAGTATTATAACTGAGAAGTGATCAAAAGTCCCAGGAACAAAACGTTTTCTAATAAATATTTGTCCTAGTGTTTGCTTTCGTGTTTTTCTAAACCAACTTTTCGATATTTATTACCAAGGTTTATACCAACTGGATTAAATACTTATTTTTCCTGTATTAAGTGCGAATTTTACAAAAAAATTAAGTACCAATATCTTACATGAATTAGATACCAATATTATACCTGACTAAAAAACCGTTATCATTCTTGAATTATTTACTCAAACCATAACAAAATTAGCTAGAAAAAAATGCTTTTCTTTTTACCACAGTTAACCTGTGACGGGCCAAAATAGGTACTGAGTTTATATAAAGGCCTGTCTCTGATTAAGGTTGTAATGAATCAGTGATAAAGGGAGAGTAAGGTATAGAATAGAAAAAACAAGAAAGGCATTAATGAATCATAGATAAAATGTGATAAAGCTGGTATTACCTATTCTGAAAGACTTAGAATAGGGGCCACAACAATAAATGTCTCAGAATACAGATGGAGAGACAAACAGTGATACAGAGAAACAGGGTCATGCCATGTCAAGTGGTACCCCACCTCATCATTATGGATTTTGATTAAACTTGGTGCGCTGAATCTTACATGTTTCAAACTAAATTTGATTAAGTTTTAGACCCGTCAATAAAATGGTTGCTGAAACAGAATCGTTTGTCTGACGCCATGACCAAGTACCGTAACCCTACGAAATTTCGGCAATTTTGAATCAAAATAATTTCTCACTCTCTACCAAAGTAAGTGAAACTTTGCTGTCTTACATAACTTTTAATGCTTAATCCAATGGAATTAATACTGATTTACATTTTTTAAACTGACATGCTGATTGAGCCTCAAACTGGAGTAAAAATATCAGTACGTCAAAAAATGTAGAAGTTTAGCAATCATGGCAACTCAGTTGCTTGCCTCCATTATTGATGGATATTTTTCTGATGGAGAAGGCATTTTTCAACATGATCTTGCATTATTGATGGATATTTTCCTGATGGAGAAGGCATTTTTCAACAGGATCTTGCATTATTGATGGATATTTTCCTGATGGAGAAGGCATTTTTCAACAGGATCTTGCTCCATTCCACACTTCCAGAAAATTGCTGACATTCTTCGAAGAGAGTGGGTGAAGCGTTCTAAATTGGCCTGGAAACTCTCCTGGCGTTTTAACCCAACTGAGAATCTATGGACAATAACCAAACAGGACCAATAATGAAACAGGACTGTTCAACTGTGGAGAAGATAATTGCTGTTGATATTAGGACCTGGTAGGTAGGTAGTAGGTTGGTAGACAGCAACCACCCAGGGAAGTACTACCGTCCTGCCAGATGACTGTGAAACAGAAACCTGTAACTATTTTGCATGATGGTAGTATTGCTGGTTTCTTTTTCTGTCTCATAAACACGCTAGATAACAGGGATATCTTGCTACTCCTACTTACACTTTGGTCACACTTCACAGACACGCACATGCATATATATATACATACATCTAGGTTTTTCTCCTTTTTCTAAATAGCTCTTGTTCTTCTTATTTCTTCTTTTGTCCATGGGGAAGTGGAAAAGAATCTTTCCTCCGTAAGCCATGCGTGTCGTATGAGGCGACTAAAATGCCGGGAGCAATGGGCTAGTAACCCCTTCTCCTGTAGACATTTACTAAAAAAGAGAAGAAGAAAAACTTTATAAAACTGGGATGCTTAAATGAGCGTGGATGTAGTGCGGATGACAAGAAACAGATGATTGCTGATGTTATGAATGAAAAGAAGTTGGATGTCCTGGCCCTAAGCGAAACAAAGCTGAAGGGGTAGGGAGTTTCGGTGGGGGGAAATAAATGGGATTAAATCTGGAGTATCTTGAGAGAGTTAGAGCAAAGGAAGGGTAGCAGTAATGTTGAAGGATCAGTTATGGAAGGAGAAAAGAGAATATGAATGTGTAAATTCAAGAATTATGTGGATTAAAGTAAAGGTTGGATGTGAAAAGTGGGTCATAATAAGCGTGTATGCACCTGGAGAAGAGAAGAATGCAGAGGAGAGAGAGAGATTTTGGAGATGTTAAGTGAATGTATAGGAGCCTTGAACCAAGTGAGAGAGTAATTGTGGTAGGGGATCTGAATGCTAAAGTAGGAGAAACTTTTAGAGAAGGTGTGGTAGGTAAGCTTGGGGTGCCAGGTGTAAATGATAATGGGAGCCCTTTGATTGAACTTTGTATAGAAAGGGGTTTAGTTATAGGTAATACATATTTTAAAGAAAAAGAGGATAAATAAATATACAAGATATAAATGTAGGGCGAAATGACAGTAGTTTGTTGGATTATGTATTGGTAGATAAAAGACTGTGAGTAGACTTCAGGATGTACATGTTTATAGAGGGGCCACAGATATATCAGATCATTTTCTAGTTGTAGCTACACTGAGAGTAAAAGGTAGATGGGGTACAAGGAGAATAGAAGCATCAGGGAAGAGAGAGGTGAAGGTTTATAAACTAAAAGAGGAGGAAGTTAGGGTAAGATATAAACAGCTATTGGAGGATAGATGGGCTAATGAGAGCATAGGCAATGGGGGTCGAAGAGGTATGGGGTAGGTTTAAAAATGTAGTGTTAGAGTGTTCAGCAGAAGTTTGTGGTTACAGGAAAGTGGGTGCGGGAGGAAGAGGACGATTGGTGGAATGATGATGAAAAGAAGCAGTAAGGGAGAAAAAGTTAGCATATGAGAAGTTTTTACAAAGTAGAAGTGATGCAAGGAGGGAAGAGTATATGGAGAAAAAGAGAGAGGTTAAGAGAGTGGTGAAGCAATGTAAAAAGAGAGCAAATGAGAGAGTGGGTGAGAATGTTATCAACAAATTTTGTTGAAAATAAGAAAAAGTTTTGGAGTGAGATTAACAAGTTAAGGAAGCCTAGAGAACAAATGGATTTGTCAGTTAAAATAGAAGAGGAGAGTTATTAAATGAGAGTTAGAGGTATTGGGAAGATGGGGAATATTTTGAGGAATTATTAAATGTTGATGAAGATAGGGAAGCTGTGATTTCGTGTATAGGGCAAGGAGGAATAACATCTTGTAGGAGTGAGGAAGAGCCAGTTGTGAGTGTGGGGAAGTTCGTGAGGCAGTAGGTAAAATGAAAGGGGGTAAGGCAGCCGGGATTGATGGGATAAAAGATAGAAATGTTAAAAGCAGGTGTGGATATAGTTTTGGAGTGGTTGGTGCAATTATTTAATAAATGTATGGAAGAGGGGAAGGTACTTAGGGATTGGCAGAGAGCATGCATAGTTCCTTTGTATAAAGGGAAAGGGGACAAAAGAGAGTGCAAAAATTATAGGGAATAAATCTGTTGAGTATACCTGGTAAAGTGTATGGGAGAGGTATTATTGAAAGAATTAAGAGTAAGACGGAGAATAGGATAGCAGATGAACAAGGATGCTTTAGGAAAGGTAGGGGGTGTGTGGACCAGGTTTTACAGTGAAACATATAAGTGAACAGTATTTAGATAAGGCTAAAGAGGTCTTTGTGGCATTTCTGGACTTGGAAAAGGCGTATGACAGGGTGGATAGGGGGCAATGTGACAGATGTTGCAGGTGTATGGTGTAGGAGTAGGTTACTGAAAGCAGTGAAGAGTTTTTAACGAGGATAGTGAGGGTCAAGTTAGAGTATGTAGGAAAGAGGGAAATTATTTCCAGTAAAAGTAGGCCTTAGACAAGGATGTGTGATGTCACCATTATTGTTTAATATATTTATAGATGGGTTGTAAGAGAAGTAAATGCGAGGGTCTTTGGCAAAAGGCGTGGAGTTAAAAGATAAAGAATCACACATAAAGTGGGAGTTGTCACAGTTGCTCTTTGCTGATGACACTGTGCTCTTGGGAGATTCTGAGAGAAGTTGCAGAGATTGGTGGATGAATTTGGTAGGGTGGGGCAAAAGAAGAAAAATTAAAAATGAATACAGGAAAGAGTAAGGTTAAGAGGATAACAAAAAGATTAGGCGATGAAAGACTGGATATCAGATTGGAGGGAGAGAGTATGGAGGAGATGAATGTATTCAGATATTTGGGAGTGGGCGTGTCAGCGGATGGGTCTATGAAAGATGAGGTGAATCATGGAATTGATGAGGGGAAAAGGGTGAGTGGTGCACTTAGGAGTCTGTGGAGACAAAGAACTTTGTCCTTGGAGGCAAAGAGGGGAATGTATGAGAGTATAGTTTTACCAACGCTCTTATATGGGTGTGAAGCATGGAGAAGGCTGGAGGCAGTGGAGATGTCATGTCTGAGGGCAATGTGTGGTGTGAATATAATGCAGAGAATTCGTAGTTTGGAAGTTAGGAGGAGGTGCGGGATTACCAAAACTGTTGTCCACAGGGCTGAGGAAGGGTTGTTGAGGTGGTTCGGACATGTAGAGAGAATGGAGCGAAACAGAGTGACTTCAAGAGTGTATCAGTCTGTAATGGAAGGAAGGCGGGGTAGGGGTCGGCCTAAGAAAGGTTGGAGGGAGGGGGTAAAGGAGGTTTTGTGTGCGATGGGCTTGGACTTCCAGCAGGCATGCGTTAGCGTGTTTGATAGGAGTGAATGGAGACAAATGGTTTTTAATACTTGACGTGCTGTTGGAGTGTGAGAAAAGTAACATTTATGAAGGGATTCAGGGAAACCAGCAGGCCGGACTTGAGTCCTGGAGATGGGAAGTACAGTGCCTGCACTCTGAAGGAGGGGTGTTAATGTTGCAGTTTAAAAACTGTAGTGTAAAGCACCCTTCTGGCAAGACAGTGATGGAGTGAATGATGGTGAAAGTTTTTCTTTTTCGGGCCACCCTGCCTTGGTGGGAATCGGCCAGTGTGATAATAAAAAAAAATTAGGACCTGATACCAGGACGAAGAATTTGCCAAAATATGTCCAACATTGGTCGATTCTGTGCCAGTGCTTATAAAAACAAAGAGTAGTTATATCACTTCTTAAATAAATTATCTGTCAGATCATCGCCGTGTATTTTCCAAATAAACATTAATTTTCCAAATAAATGTATTATTTCACCACTGTCTTAATTAATATGCATATTATTGTAATATTAATACGATCAAGTATTAATAGACCTAGTATTAATACGCCTAGTATTAATAAGCCTAGTATTAATACGCCTAGTATTAATACGCCTAGTATTAATAGACCTTGTATTAATAGACCTAATATTAATAGGCCTAGTATT